GGACTGACCAGTCCTATTGAGACGCTCCTAGACCGTCTATAAACATTTCTGGTTGGGGTCTGATCTGTCCACTGGCTGTGATCGTCGTCCTGATTGCGACGTTAAATAATTCCTGAGGAGATGGGTGCTCTCCTTAAATCCCTCCTGATCAGCCAGATCAGTCAGACGTAAGGCTCGTTGCACGCGAGGGTAAACAAAGGGGCAGCGTTCATAGACAACAAGATGGACGCCATGCAAGATACTCTAGACCAGATCCTACAAGCGCTACATAAGCCAGGGATCCGGCCAGCAACTTTACCATCGCTGCCACTCTCAGCGATGACAGGCCTCTATGCCACTCAGTCAGGACCACCACCAAGTGTTTCATCAACAGTAACACTATCTCAGACTGTTGCTTCTTCATCTTCTGGTCCAACGACTGTAGCTACACCACAGTCACCACCTGTCTCGCAAGCGGGACAACAATATCATTGGTATCCCAAGACCCCACTAAACCCACCTGCAACCTTCTCAGGAGACAAGAAGGATGAGGCTCTCGACACATGGTTGAGAACGGTGCCTGTGTGGGTGAGGGCCAAAAGGACATTGGTAGAAGAGAATGTGATTACTGCAGCATCCTACTTGGAGGGTTCAGCAACCCGTTGGCTAAACGGATTGGTAGCTTCAAAGGGCCTCGACAGGAATATGCATGATTGGGCGCAGACCCACACATTAGAAAGCTTTATGGACTTAGTGGAGGCTCGTTGGCACAACCCTTAGCAGGCACAGATTGCCGCTGATGGGCTCTTGAAACTTGATACTAAAAAGTACAAGCCTGTGCGGGAACTCACCACAAACGTAGAGCGCCTGATCGTTGTCCCGGGAGTGGAGTGCAATCCACAGGTCTTGCTGACCATGTTCCTGAGATGTCTTCCCACAGACATTAGGAATTTATTAGCCAGCGAGGATCGCAGAGAGTAGGGGCCCTTATAGACAGTGGGGCCACCCGCAGCTACAAAGGACATCTAGTGTTAGTAGACGTAGAGATTTTTAGAGGTAGAGTAGGGGACCTTATAGACAATGGGGCCACCCGCAGCTACATCAGTAGGAAAGCGCTGCAGAAGCTGAAGTTGAATCCGAAAGTCCAAAAGTTAGCAGACCGTATGCTTAGTATCCTCGCAGACAATCGCACTATGCGAGTCAAGGATTACGTCGAGGGAGTCTAGGCGTACTGTTCTCCATTCCCGGACTCTCCTCGTAGAAGACAACCTTCCTTTTGACATAGTCCTAGGAATGGACTGGGGAGAGCCAGCAGGGGTCACACTCCATTTGAGAGAGCACGAGTGTAGGCTCCCTAGTCCCACAGGTGAAGTTGAGACTGCTCGCATGTTTCATGTGTCTGGAGTAGACAACACCCTGGCACATTGCCGCCTCACTGCTTCCGCGTTCGCGCACTTAGTAAAGGAGCAGCAGTTAGAAGAGTAGGTTTATGTAGCCTATGTGAGGCTAGTCACTTAGTCTAAGGAGGAGACACCCATGGACCCTGCTATTGCCAAGCTGCTGGAGGAATATACAAATTTAGTGAAGCCGCCTATAGGAGTAGTGCCCCGGCCGATCCAACATCGGATAGAGATAGAGCTTGGCAGTAGGACTCCTAAGGGAGCGATTTACAGAATGTCCCCAAGGGAGTTAGAGGAGCTGCGTAAGCAGTTAGACGAGCTCCTTGAGAAGGGTTGGATTAGGCCTAGTTCATCCCCATTTAGAGCGCCTGTTCTTTTTGTTCCCAAGAAGGAGGGAGAGCTTAGAATGTGTATTGACTATAGGGGTCTTAATGCGATCACAATGAAAAATGCAGAACCGCTGCCCCGTATAGATGATCCGTTGGATCGGGTGCAGGGCTGCAAGTATGTTTTGAAGATAGATCTGAAGTCGGGATATCATCAAATAGAGGTTCATCCTGATGATCAGTACAAGACAACATTCTGGACTAGATATGGGCACTATGAGTTTATAGTTATGCCCTTTGGACTAAAGAATGCGCCAACAACTTTCCAGCGTTGTATGAATGATTTGTTTAGGCCGTGGTTAGATAGATTTGTACTGGTGTATCTAGATGATATCTTAGTCTTTAGCAAGACCGTCCAGGAGCATGAGGGCCATCTGAGGCAGGTCTTGGCGAAGCTGAAAGAAGCTAACTTCAAGATCAACGCGAAGAAGTGCGAATGGGCTAAGACCCAAGTTTTGTACTTAGGCCATGTCCTAGACGGAGACGGCGTTAGACCTGAAGATAGCAAAATTGCAGCGATTAGAGATTGGCCAATGCCTCGCACACTAACAGAGTTGCGGCCGTTCTTAGGCCTAGCTAACTACTATAGGAAGTTCGTAAGGAACTTCTCCACCACCGCTGCACCCCTTCGCAGGTTGCTAAAGAAAGAAGCAATCTGGAAGTGGGACAAGGACTGTACGTCAGCCCTGAAGAAGCTAAAGCGAGCATTGATAGATTATCCAGTCCTTAAGGTAGTCGATCCGTCCTTGCCTTTCGTTGTTACCACCGACAAAAGTCAGTATGGTCTGTAGGTCTGTCAATTAGGAGTCACAACTATGTAGAGGTCGTGGCTGTAGATGCTATGAGAGGTCAAGGTCGTAGCTGCTATAGTACCCGAAAGGCCTAGTCCACAGCCTTCCGGAAGGTTCGGAAGTGGCCTTTCGAAGTGTCTCACGTTTAGTCAGAGGCAAGTGGGCAAGTGGCGAGCCTTTAGTCAGAGGCAAGTGGGCAAGTGGTGAGCCTTTAGTCAGTGACAAGTGGGCAAGTGGTGAGCCAACTACGTTACGTCGGCAGTGCGACTGCATCGAGTTGGCAGTGCAAACCCATGCAGTCAGCGACACCGGTCCCAGTCAGTTAGAGTCCAATCAAGCAAATACCGTGTGGGACTGTGTGCACCAAGGGCCTGGGAAAGGGGCAGACCAACGAGTTACAAAAGTATAAATCAAGAGGCAGCGCCAGCCATTCATTCATTCGCTGTGTAAGCCATGCGGAAGCGTTGCTACAGCGTCTTGTGCGAAGGTGGTTTGCAGGTTGCCCGACGTCGAAGTGGGCTGAAGAGAGAGTGTAGCCATAGCCAGTAGTGGTAGTGCGGCCATAGCCGCTGTAGGAGGAAGTTAGACATCGTGTATGTGTGGTGTTATTCAAGGTGATCCAGAGTGAGCGTGTGTGAACAGTGGGGTTGGAGACTGTGATGAAGGTTGGGATGTTCAAGCGCCGATGCGCCATAGCCTGTTGAAGTCAACTTGCATCTGAACTGTGTTCTTGATTTCCATATCTCTAAGCTTTGAGTGGGCGCCCTGAGTCAGTGTGAATCTCCATCCGTTTGCATGTATGTGAAGAGGGAGTGAAAGCGAGTCTGATTGCGTATATAAACATATATATACAGGGTTGCTAAGCCGAACGTATGGAGGCGGCCCCTTAGTTGACCCCTGAACGTTCGGCCCGAATCCGAAGGGGTTGGGACCCTCGAAAAACTATTTTGGTACCTAAATATTATTGTTTTTTTCTGAATTATTTTTTTTTGTGAGTTCTTTGTATTGTAAGCTACCTGCCTCTTAATTTTGAAGCTATTCTGTGAAGCCAAAAAATAATGAAAAATCAGGAAAGATGGGGGTGTCAAAACTTGCTTGCCCACTCACTAATTTGTTTTTTTTTTCTTTTCACTTTTGTTTTCCTTTTATTTTGGGGCATGAAAAAAAAAAATTATTTTTTCAAACCTTCGTTTTAGGTTCTCTATTATGTAAGATACACATACATAAATTTTCATGGCATTTGGCAAAGCCAAAAAAAAAAGAAAAATTGGGGGGGGAGGGGGGAGAGAGAGAGAGAGAGAGAGAGAGAGAGAGAGAGAGAGAGAGAGAGAGAGAGAGAGAGAGAGTGTTACATGCTGCGCCTGCACACAGACCCCATTCGAGGGGCCCGATGGTTGCTGAGGGGCCCCCAGGCTGCATGCCCATCAGACATGCTCCTTGGAGGCCCATGGCGGCCCCAGGCCGCATATTTCAAATAAAGGTGGCATTTATTTATTTATTTATTTACTTACTTGCTGTCCTATTTTTGTCTGTGTAGACGTCGTTTCAGACTGGCAGGCCCCAAGGCAACGCCTTGGACCAGGGACACAGGAACGAGGCTGTTTTCAGGCCAGGCGCGTTTTGGCGCCATGCTGCATCAGCAGCACTGGATACCCGGTAGGGGCCCAGATTGAGTAGGCCGTTTGAGGCCAGTACCTGGGGAACGCCCAGCAGGCCCAGATTATAGCTGGGCTGAGGCTGGGCTGAGGACAGTTCGGGTAGCTCCCTTCTTGAGCGACACGCTGCTGGTTGGAGGCTGCGCTGCAAGGTTGGGAAGGAGAGGCGGAGGCCATACCTGTAGTGGAGAACTTACCTGGAGCCATAGCTGGGGCTCCGCTCGGTACCTGCACAGGACGACCACTACGGTCAGTATGGCAGCAGTTACCTACAAGTGAGGCAGCGAGGAGGGCGACATCTTTTTCTTCCCTCTTGCCCTCCTCGTTTCCCTCTCTCCTCCTCATTCCTCCTTCCTCCATCTTCTTCTTCAGATACGAGAGTGAGAGGGGTTACCGACGGAGGATACAGGCAGAGGTTACTGTTGGGCAGAAGTCCCAGGATCTGATCCGACATTCTCGCGGCATACATTGATTGGGCGTTGGCAAGGGACTACTTTTGGACTTCGCTATTGCGACCTTGGCCTTCTCCCTCGCCTCCATCTTCGTCTCTTCTCTTCCCCCCATCCCTCATTTGTGGTATCTCCCCATGTGCGTGTGCCAAGGAGGGACCTTTCTTCTATGTGTGTGGTCCCTCCTCTCTCACATGTGTGATGAATGATGGGGTGTTGCGTCAGTCCCGGTTAGGTCGGGACATATTAAAGTCTTCCACTGCGCTACTATGTGCTATTTTGTATGTATCAGGATGTACATTGCATGTTGACGTTCCACTGACATTGCGGATCGTTGGCTCTACATACATTGCCCAACTTGGCATGCATCAGTTGGTATTGGAGGCCCGCACATGAATCAGGACAACCTGATCTGACACGTGTGCGGGGACCGATTGATTGATTGATGGATGGATGGATGGATGGATGGATTCTGACACGTGTGCGGGGACCGATTGATTGATTGATGGATGGATGGATGGATGGACGGAGGGATGGATGGATGGAGAGACGGATGGACGTAGAGACGGAGGGATGGATGGAGGGAGGGACAGAGGGATGGATGGATGGATGGACGGACGGAGGGATGGATGGATGGACGGACAGAGGGATGGAGGGAGGGACGGACGGAGGGATGGATGGATGGACGGACGGACGAATGGATGGACGGACGAATGGATGGACGGACGGAGGGATGGATGGACGGACGGAGGGATGGAGGGACGGAGGGACGGATGGAGGGACAGAGGGACGGATGGAGAGACAGAGGGACGGATGGAGGGATGGATGGACGGATGGACGAACGGAGGGATGGACGAATGGACGGACGAAGGGATGGATGAATGGACGAACGGAGGGATGGAGGGAGGGACGGACGGACGGATGGAGGGATAGACGGACGGATGGAGAGACAGGGGGATGGACGGACGGATGGATGGACGAACGGACGGAGGGATGGACGGATGGATGGATGGATGGATGGATGGATGGATGGATGGAGGGACGGACGGATGGACGGATGGATGGAGGGAGGGACGGATGGATGGAGGGACGGACGGATGGATGGACGGACGGAGGGACGGAGGGAGAGGGACGGAGGGAGGGACGGAAGGAGGGACGAACGCACAGACATAGGGATGGATGGAGGGAGTGAGGGACGAATGGATGGATGGATGGACGGACGGACGGACGGACGGACGGACGGACGGACGGACGGACGGACGGATGGACGGATGGAGGGACGGCGGGATGGAGGGATGGACGAACGGACGGATGGAGGGACGGATGGATGGACGGACGGACGGACGGACGGATGGATGGATGGATGGAGGGACGGAGGGATGGAGGGAGGGACGGACGAGCGAACGGATGGATGGATGGAGGGACGGAGGGATGGAGGGAGGGACGGACGGACGGATGGAGGGACGAAGGGATGGATGGATGGATGGACGTACGAACAGATGGATGGATGGAGGGACGGACGGACGGATGGAGGGATGGACGGACATACGAACAGATGGATGGATGGAGGGACGGAGGGATGGAGGGAGGGACGGACAAACGGATGGAGGGACGGAGGGATGGAGGGACGGAGGGATGGATGGATGGATGGATGGACGGACGGATGGAGGGACGAACGGATGGATGGAGGGATGGAGGGATGGAGGGACGGACGGACGGATGGAGGGATGGATGGATGGAGGGACGGACGAATGTAGGGACGGAGGGACGGATGGAGGGATGGATGGATGGAGGGACGGATGGATGTAGGGACGAAGGGAGGGATGGAGGGAGGGATGGAGGGACGGATGGACGGATGGAGGGATGGAGGGACGGGCGGATGGAGGGACGGAGGGAGGGAGGGATGGAGGGACGGACGGATGAAGGGATGGACAGATGGATGGATGGACGGACGGACGAATGGAGGGATGGAGGGACAGACGGATGGATGGATGGAGGGAGGGAGGGACGGAGGGATGAAGGGACGGACGGATGGACGGATGGACGGAGGGACGGACGGAGGGACGTATGGAGGGACGGATGGAGGGACGGATGGATGGATGGATGGATGGATGGATTTTGACCGAACTGTTGAAAAAAAAAATAAAAAAAAAATTCGTTCTTTTGGATTCTCTTCCTTCAGTGCACATGCATTGGTTGAAAACTCACCCGAAATAGTGCAACATTTGAAATTTATGATTCTCGTTTCTTTTTGGAATTTTAAAATTTCGTTGCTGGAAAATCTGATTTTTTTTTTTTTTCTGTTTGTTGAAATATTGGGTGGTTTTTTTTTTGTTTTTTTTTTTTTTGATATGGTGGAAATTTCGATTTGCATTGCTTCTCACTATTTCTCGTTATTATTCTGGAAATTTTGATTTTTTTTTTGCATTTATTTGTGTTGATTTGTTCATTTCACACATTTTTAACGGTAACGGAAAGTTTGAAATTCGTTGTTTTTCATTATTTTGAGTTGAAAAATCTCTCGTTGCAGTTTATCTTTGAAGCACAAACGCTCATTTGATTGATTCCGAATTTTTATTTTTTGGAATCCTCGGAACTTGCGAACAATTTTTCGCAGTTCCATTATTTATTATTAATTATTATTATCCGTTTGCAGTTTGATCGGGAGACCTACTGAATTTGCAAAATCGAGTTTTTTTTATTATTAATTTCTCGGATTTCTTTTCGCAAAATTCAAACTTCTATTTTTTTGATTAGTGGCTCCTTATTTGGGCGATCAATCCCACCCACCCCTTCCCACCTATGTTGTTGCCCCCTCATGTCTTCCCTTCCATCTGTCTTCGGGTACTCCCTACTATGGCATTGGTAAGTTGCCACGTTAGTAGGCCACTTCAGCGGACCACGTCAGTTGTGACACGTCAGTAGGCCACGTCAGCAGTGACACGTTAGCAACACGTCAGCCGACAGTCGTGCCACGTCAGCAGCCAAACAACGCCACATCAGCAGTAGAGAGTGCCACGTCAACAGTTCACCCGCCTGGTCTATGCTCACGCGCTCTCATACAGTCGTCATGGACCAAAAGCCAGGGGAAACGACCGAGGCCGACTAGGCCCGAATGCAGACCTTGATCAACGAGGCCAAGCAACGGGTCAGATGCGGTAGCGGCCGAAGAGAAGAAGAAGGTCGAGGACGCAGAGAAAGCACGTCTGTTGGCGATCGAACAGAAGCGCCAGCACGATGAGACAGCAGCAAAGGCTGTCGACGAGGAACACAACACGCGACGAGAGAAGATATTCAGAGGAGAGCGAGCCTTACTCACCATGGCAGTGGAATGGCGGTCCGAGGCCGAGGGTGGTACACTGAGCGACAACGAACTCAAGATCGCTCTGTTACTCTCCCACTTAACGGACCTCCTGGCGACGTGCATTGCACAACAGGAGGACATCCATTCCCTCAACTACGAGGTCAAGCGAGTGAGCAACCGCTTACAGCAGCTGGAGCAATGACCTGTTGCCGCCCCTGTTGCCGCCCCCGTCGCCAGCTCCTCCAACACTTCTCATCGCCTCGACGCATTGGAAGTCGACGCCGGAGCACTCACGAATGGCGTGCAGCTACAACAAACCTCAACTCAATAACTTGAGCAGCGGATCTGTGCTGCCGCCGCTAACTCGAGCACGACACCACGCGAAATGACTCTGAAGTTCGATGGTCAGGAGATCTTTTGTGACTTTACGAAGACGGACCCAATTTCGTGGTTCCGCAAGTTCGAGCTCAAGTTATAGCTCCACCACACCAGTGAAGAGAAGAAACACGCGTATTTGTACTCCCGATCGGGGGGCGCGTGCCAAGCATGGTTGGACAATCTCTTGTCCAAGTACGGGGTGGTCGCTGCCGACTTGTATACCAAGATCGGTTGGGATGATCTGAAGGCGGCGTGGCATAAGCGGTTCCAAATAGAGCCGCCGGAAATCAAAGCAATGAACAAATTGTTGACTTTCCAACAAGGCACACTGCTGATCGGCGATTGGATTGTCGAGTTCCAACGCTTGGCGTCAATGTCGGACGTACCGATGGGCTTTACGGCCATCAAACACTACTTCATTACGAGGTCGTGTCCGACACTATCCCACGCATCGACTCACGTTGCGGAGACTCCCACTACAACAGTAGAGCTCTGCGAGAAGGCTGCGGATAGAACTAATAAAAAAAAATATGTAATCCAACAGCCGAGCTCTGCGACAAGGCTGCGCAAGGCAAAGGCAAAGGACGCGGCAAATCGACGACAAACACCACGTCAAACCCCGGGCCCGGGGCAACAGCTCACGACCCATGGACCCACTATGGTCTCTCGGAGAGCGTATAGAAGCTACGCACGAGAATCCGCTATTGTTTGTGGTGCAACAGCGATCTCCACAAAACAGTGGGCTTTCCTTTGAAAGGCAAGGCAAACAGTCGGGAAAGTGAGCACTGTCGAGAGTGAGTTGACGACACTCTCGACGCCTTCGGAACCAGTTGCTACGCGCCCTTCGTTCCAAGGCACATGTGGAAGTCGATAGTCCTCCCATCTTACATTCTTATGAGGTCTTCCGAGGCACATGCGAAAGTCGATAGTCCTCCCATCTTACATTCTTATGAGGAGTATGCTATCTGGCTCGTTCCTACACTGGGTACTCATGCTCAAGGACAAGACGTATGTGCGACATCCTCTGTCCGGCAGCGGCGACTTAGCGTCTTCAAGTGGTTCTTCACGGGATTCGGCGCGCGAGTTCAACATAGAGGTAATGGACCCCCTCTCGTCCGAGGATTTCACATGGCTTCCTCTCCCTACCACGGGCCGCTTGATGGGACCGCAATGCACAACACTATGCGCTCAACTTCACACATACTTATCCTTCTATGCACCACCAACTTCGCCGACGGATGACGAAGCTGCGGCGCGGGACATCCTTGCGTACGTTACCAACGTGGCCCGCGAGTTTGCACGCAGCGGTACGATGACAACAACGCACCGCCCCTCTTTGTTCGCATCCAAGTTGGGCAAGAGTCCTGCAACACTTTGCTGGATAGCGACACAACTCGCAATTTCATGAGCCAAGCCTTTATGCAAAGGGCTGGTCTTGGCGCACAAGTTCGGAGGAAGGCAAACCCAACGACGATCAAGTTGGCGGACGGAAAAACGCAACAACTTCTCGACCACTACATCGAGGCCGTCCCAGTGTATTTCGCACCTCTTGCATGCGAAGCAGTGACGTTCGACATTTTGGACACGGACTTCGATATCATTTTGGGAATGCCTTGGCTTGCAAGTGCGGATCACACGGTCAACTCTCACTTGCAGACTCTTACCGTTTAGGACGCCTTCGACGTCAAAATGCCGTGTACGATTCCTCTCCCGCACCCTTCGATTTGGTGCCAAGTGGTGATGGCCAAGTTGTTCCGGGCTACTTGTGCTTACGAGCAGCCCGACGAGATAGGCCTATGGGACCGTCGTGGTAGCCGACTCTTCACCCACAAACATCTCTTCGGGTGCGGTTGCTTGACAATTCGCCGACATCTTCGAGTCACCTATCGGTGTGGTGCCGGATTGGCCGATCTCTCACAAGATCATTCTTAAGGTCGGTGCCGTGCTATCGAAAGGATGCATTTATCGCATGAGCGAGGAGTAGCGTACGGTCCTCCGCGCACAACTCGACAACTTGTTGGACAAGGGTTGGGTCCGCCCCAGTAGCTCCCCATATGGTGCGCCAGTTCTCTTCGTACGGAAGAAGAACAAGGATCTACAATTGTGCATCGATTACCGCAAGCTCAACGCGCAAACCGTTAAGAATGTGGGGCTTCTTCCTCATATTTACGATCTCCTTGAGCGATTGGGCGGCGCGAAGTACTTTTCCAAGTTGGAATCGAAGTCGGCCTATCACCAGATTTCGATAAGCCCGAACGATCGCTATAAATCCGCGTTCAAGACACGATACGTGCATTTTGAGTGGGTGGTGATGCCTTTAGGCCTCACCAATGCCCCATCGACCTTTCAAGCGGCAATGACCAACGAGTTTCGGGCGATGTTGGACCGCTTCGTGCTGGTCTGCTTATAACATCCTCGTCTACAGTCGGACATTGGAGGATCATCTTGAGCACCTTCGGCGAGTGTTGGAGACGCTCTCCCATGCCAAGTACAAAGCCAACCTCGACAAGTGCGAATTTGTCCGGCGAGAGTTGGAATACTTGGGCCATTTTGTCACACCGGAGGACATCAGTCCATTGTCGGACAAGATTCAAGCCATCCAAGAGTGGCCGGAGCCACGGAACGTCACGGATGTCCGTTCGTTCCTTGGCGTTGGCGGCTACTGCCAACGTTTTATCAAGGGATACTCGAAGATTGCGGTCCACTTGACCAAACTTCAATGCGAGGACCGACAGTTCAACTTCGGAGAGGATGCGCAGGGATCATTTTTGGCCCTCAAAGTCGCGTTACTATCTGCGGAGGTCTTGCGCATCTACGACCCACTATTACCAACGCGCGTCACTACTGATGTGTCCGGCTATGGTATTGGTGCCGTCCTCGAACAACAAGATGGTGTGGACTGGCACCCGGTAGAGTACTTCAGCAAGAAAATGCCCGTCGTGCACTCAATCGATGATGAGCTTCTAGCCTTCGTCCACATGCTCAAGCGGTGGCAACACTTTCTCCTTGGTCGAAGCCAATTCCAATGGGTGACGGACAAAAATCCGTTGGTCTTCGACAAGACCCAAGATGCGGTCAACAGCACCATCGCGCGCTGGATGACTTTCATCGACCAGTTTGACTTCTTTCCCGATCACATCCTCGAAAAGTCAAACCGTTTTGCGGAAGCTCTTTCACGGCGTCCTGATCATTGCACTGCAGTCTATTCGACCTTCGAGATGGACGACGACCTGCGGGACAGCTTTATCCGCGGCTACCACGCCGACCTCGAGTTTCGCGACAAGTATGCCAATTGCTCCTCTCCTAATCTGGCGCAATCGAACTACCAGATCCAAGAGGGGTACTTGCTTGTCCACACGCGGGGAAAGGACCTTCTTTGTGTTCCAAGTGACTCTCACTTGCGTGCTCGGCTCCTTGGCGAGTTTCACGATGCTCTCGCCACCGGACACTTTGGAGTCAATCGAACGATTGGCTGACTTTGCGAGCTCTTTTGGGGGCTCGGCCTTCTCAACGACGTCACACGCTATTGCGAGTCATGCGAGGTTTGTCGATGCTGGAAATCCCGCAATCATCGTTCGTACGACGAGTTGCGACCATTACCGGTCCCCTTGCGCCGAAGGGACGTTTGGTTTAAAGTCTAAGTACACCACGTGGGTCGTGGTTGTGACTGTTGATTACATTGACTGAATGGTTGACTAGAAATATAGTGTGTGTAGGCGCGCAGACTTAAGGCGCGCGTGATCTCTCTTCTTGTTGATGATTGCAGAGCCGGCGCAGTTGCCGGCCAAAGTTTTAGTCCTGATTAAACTAAGATTAAAAGATTGTCTGATGATTGGAAGGCTTGATCATGACATGTGCATATGTACGGAGAGCGATGTCGGCGGCAGCACGGTTCTGTATAGTCGTGCAGTGAATGTAGAAAGATGACGACCGTGAGGTTGGTTGATAGGCCGATGTGTGGTTTTGAAACATTTCAGTTCGCGCGTCGAGCAATATTTGCTTATGTAGGTGTCCGCTAGTAAGAGGCTCAGCCTTGGGCCTAACACTATTGGTTACGGTGTGGGACCTTCGATAGGGAGATTCAAGGATCGAGGCCAACAACGACGGTGTAGAAGTACTGAAATGGCGTGGAAGAGGCCGAGGGGTTGAGGGCCCGACAGGGCTATCCTCCTCGGTTTTTGCCATCGACGGAGTTGGTGCGATATTAGCGGTTCCTTTTCCTCGTCTGTTGTTTTTTGATAGTTGAAATTTTTTAAATATTTTATTATTTAGCGTCGTATTATTATTAGTTTTATGCTCCGATGTTCTTTGACTCAGACGCGACGCCTGGATTTAAGGGACGTCACGACGGTCAGGGACCTTGAGCGCACGCTTCCTTTGGTTGACCTACGGGTTCGTGCGTGTTCGGAAAGCTGGCGAAATTCCTCTATTCCGCCTGGCTTGAGAGGCGGACCAAAGAGGTCATGTATGGAGAGAGCAGTGGGGTTCGTGGTCGTGGCTTCCCTCGCTTCCCACTTCGAGAGCTTCGATAGCCTAAAGTACAAGGGACTCGAGGAACATTTCGAGCGGCCTTGTGGGACTGCAGCCTGGAAGTAGTAGGGGATGCCGGGAGCGGGCAGCCTCCCACCCGCGGTTTGTTGTGAGAGTTTTGAGTGCGAGTATGCCCTTAGGACCCGAAAGATCGGGAACTGGCCATAAGGCAATAGGCACAGTAGACCCGATAGGCGCAGTGAGCCAAGGGGTACCGGGGCATAGATGTGTGATATCTGACGTACGAATCGTTCATAGGGCTTGGGTATAGGTGAAAGACTAATCGGACCGTATAGCAGTCGGCTCAGTCGGAATCTCCCAGATGAACATCCCATATGGTCGGGGAACCGACTGTTTGTTGGGCGCTGCGCCAGCCTGGAGGAGGTCGACGGGGCTGAAGTTGGTACGAGAAGACCATGAAGAGAAAGAAAAGGGCCGAGCCTGGCCGTTGGAATGGGCCAGGTGCATGCGCAGTAAGGAGGCTTAGTGGAGGCTCACAGCGATACGGGCGTGCAAAATAGTTCGTCCGACGAGGGTATAGACCACTGGAAAAATATCGGGTCGGATGGTAGCTGAGTCTTCCCCAAGTTCTCCAGTGTAGCTGGAGTAGCCGAATGGCCTACGGGGTTGTTAACAGTGGAATCGGCTGCTGCGAGCCAGGGAGCTAACTTCGAGAAAATCGAGAGAAGGCAGGCGGGACGGCGGGAAGATGATGTAGCGGAGGAGATGGTGGAAGCGAGTTGGGTGGAGCGAAAAAAACACAACTCACCTACTCCTTGACGGAAACAGGCGCGAAGGGATGGTAGGTAGGGGGTTTCGGCCAAGGCGAGCACAATGATGGAGTTAGTTTTGAGGATGGATTAGTAGGATAGGAGTCAGTAGGGGAAAAACGTGCGCGAGGATATGAACAAACGGATATGGCAGAAGCGGAGGATTAGTAGTTTGACGAGATCGAGCCGAGGGAAGAGCTTACGAAGAGGTTTTAGTGTCGGGTGAATCCAACTATGACGTTAGTTTGAATAGAGAGTTAGTAGAACGAGAGGTTAGTAGGAAGTAAAGGTGCGCAAAGGTAGCAGTTGCGCAGAAGCATAGAAAAGCGAAGCACGAAGTTCTCACCCGATCCGTGATAGAATCATGCTAAGTAACACGATAAGGTGATGTTTTTGGATGTTGCGGGCGTATTGGTAGAGGCGGATTTCGAGTTAGAGTGGCGGATTCGACGGTACAAGGTGTGAGGCTGCGCGTGGGAAAAGACTATAAAAATGGGGGACAGACCTACCTGGAATCAGCGGAAGATCCATCCCCATGTTGCTCGTTCTATCGAGAGAGCGGGCGAGGTGAAGTGTCGGGTACGGGATGTAGATATGAGCGATTTCGACGTTGTGTGAGGCTTACCTGATTCGCCTGTAGGCAGTTTGGCGTTGCTCCGCATCCTGACGAACCTAGTTGCGATAGCGACCAGGTGCATGCTAAGGGTGAGGGGCACGGTATCTTTTTCGATAGCAGGCACAAACGACAACAAGCACCCTAAAACGAGGGAAGAAAACAGAGCGAGGGAATCGGGAGAAAGTTAGGAATCTTACCTCAAGGGGGGGGTTGCATGGCCCAGGGTCATACTATAGCTACCAAGGGCGGTCGTGCCACAGCGTGTCTGAGGGCAGCTGCAGAGGTGAAATGAGTGCATCCACTGTAGACCACAGAGAAGGAACGAGTCTACGTGCCTATGTCAGGAGGAGAGTTGCGGGCTGCATTCCTACCGGATCGACGAATTCACTGTTTGTCCCGTTGGACAAGCAAGGCAGCAGCAGGGCTGCATACTTACATGTGGGTCGAGGACTGCTTACCTCAATTGGAGTGGTGGGAACAACAAGCCGGCCACGGAGGCTGTAGTTTATCGGTGGGCCGACGGTTTGCTCAGCCTTTTAACCGGAGTAATGAAAGGGTGACTGCGGGGTCGCAGACTTAGCAATTGGTCGATGTATCACTTGATCCATTGCTAAGCTTTTCTTCACAAAGGGGGGCCTGTGGACTATGTCTTCTCCTTCTTGCGCGACTCATGCGGCTGTTGAATGAGAAGGTTGCGACTGTTGCGCTCTTGTGATTGACTTTGTACGGTTGACTTACTGCTGCATTTTGTTTGCTTTCGCTATGCTGCTGCGCACGGCTGCTGGCCGCGCGTGTCAGCAAGCTGCTACATATTGCTGGGTTGTACAATAGGTACACGCTGTTGTGCATGGTTGTTGGGCACGCAGTGTCGGCAGACTGCTGTTGTATTCTTACTTGAGCATAACAGCGGGACATGGTTACTACGGCTTGGGGGAGTGACTAAGCGACAATAAGAGGGCCATTGTTGCGGATTGGAGGGTCGTCAGAAGGTCAATACTCAACAGTTTGACTTTGGTTTGTTCGAAGGTTGCGTATTTTGGCTGCCATTGCGGGGCTCTCAGGCGCATGAAGGTTTCAAGGCCCTCTCCTGGGAGTTGAGTTGTCCCTCTTCTATATCTCGAGAGTCTGAAACCCCTCCTTCTGCCCTTCCCACTCTCAGTCTAATCCTGGTTACGAGAGGAAGGCGGCCGGCGGGATTGCAACCCGTAGGACCACATCAAGGCTCTGTCGGGACTCTGCCCACCGATTGCAGGAGCTCTGCTGAAACTCAGTAGTAGTTCTGGAGGCAGGGAGCTGAGAGGTAAACTTTCATCTCCCTCTATAAACCCAGGTATAACCCCTATTTGTATATCTTGCTACAGTTTGATTGAGTATACTGCATGAATCCCATATTTGACTTTGTGTTTGACTTTCAGGACACAAATGAGACTCAAGTAAAACAATGTTTGCACAAACTCAGTTTATTTTTATTGTTTGGCTGAAAGCAGATTGTGAAAAGGGTTTGCATCTGGGGGAAAGGCGGAACGAAGGTGGTTTTGCCTGTGTTTGACTGGGTCAACCAAAGGCTGGGCAAGTCTCCATAAGTTTGGAGGGCCCAGTGCTATGTTTATTTTTGATTGCCTGGAGGACCAGACAGGTTTCCATAAGTTTAAATGGTCTGGTTGCTCTGACTTGCGAGGGCTGTTTGTGACTGCCTTTTCAGGGACCAAGCAGGTTTCCATAAGTTTGGATGGCTTGGTTGCCTTGTTTCATTTGGGGTTCTTGTGTTTCATTGGTTTCTGAAAGGAGTTTAGCATGTTCCATAAGTTTGGATGGCTCTAACTCTTTTTGTTTATTATGAGGGGAGATTAGGCAAAGGGCTAGACATGTTTCCATAAGTTTGGATGGTCTGGTCTGGAGCCATGCACATGTTGCAATCAGAAAGGGTAAATTTTGACTATATCCTTCTACTATTTTACTTATGAACAAGCTAGTCAGACATGTTTCCATAAGTTTGGATGGTCCGACTATAGCTTGTCATAAACTGAAGAGAGTATTAAATAAAGAATAAATTTGTGGTAAGAAGGGGCAGGTTGAACCTTTTTTCCAAGTTGAACGGCTCAGTGCGAGGCCACTGCCTCTATGAGCCCCATAAGGCCCTATTTTGCAGCCCGTCGCCCGCCCTAAGTGAAGGCAGGCTCGACGAGGCCCTCAGGGCCCTATTCTGGCCTCCACGCAACTCAGGGCAATTCAGGCAGTTGCGCAGCGCCAGTTGTTGAGTGAACCCAGGCCCTGGGCCGCCTTTGTGAATGAATGTGAAGCAGGCCCTGGGCTGGATACGGGTACTGGGCCAAACACAGGCCAAAGGCAGTTGGGCACATGCAACCA